GTACTGTCTTATTGTACTATACCTTATATGTAAACTCAATAAATGCCCATATTTACCCAGCTGTTACAACGAACCACAAGTACCCTGAAGTGCTGGAATTCTCAAGCCAAGCAATTGCACAGCTAACAAAAATTAATAACTATTCATAACTATTAATAACTATTAGTAATCCGAACCTACTCACGAATTTCATTATTGCCCTAGCATCATTTGAACCCAGATCTGCCCATGACAATGGGGCTACACATAACACAAACAACTAAGAAGACATAAATATGCCATTGAAAAACAAAAATGAAACAATCAAGTCAAGAGCTCAAGATGTTGCCTGTAACTACTGCTATTGCTTCAGTGGGGATTGCTGACATTTGCTGTTCTCTTCTGCCCTGCCCAGGATCCCTGCAACAGCTAGCAGCATGAGCCAGAAAACAGTGGATCCGTGCTAAGGGAGATGGCACCTCCCACACTCTAGGCCGTCCAGCATTGCCTTCTGAGGTAGCCCCCGGACTGTCAACCAGCTTATCCTTGTCTGCTAAAACTCTTGCATCTCAACAATTGGACCAGAGAGGACCTTCTCGACCAGCTTACCCTGTATTGGCTGACAGTCTGGGGACAACACAAGACAAGCAGCCTGCTGGGCCAGTGTAGGCTGCACCAGCCCAGAGCCTGCCACCAGTGAAGCTGAAGGCACTATCAAAGACCCTGGGCCTTGGTTGATAACAGGGACAGATGCCAAGGACTGAGGGGGTAGGACTCGCCCAAAATACTAGTACCTGGCATATCTTTATACACACCATAGGCGGCTATAGGCCCGGGCAAGCCAGGGCTTTGCCCTGGTAGTTTTCAACCAAAACCACACCCAAAGGGTGTGTTTTGTTATTATTAGGAGTGAGATCATCACTAGAATTCATTTTTTATAGCCACAACTGTCTACACTCCACTTTACAGTTATTTTAGTGTGGTAACTGGCTTTTGGGAACTATCATAATGATTTTTTGTCATTTTTAAATTGACCACACCCCCAATTCTTATGAATAATTAATTAGCCCTGGTTAATTCAAGATTCTGTAGCCGCCTATGATACACACGTGTAACAGAAGAGCCCTAACGGCTAACATACAACACCGTGAGCCTGAGTCCTACCCGTACTGGACTATAAGCAACAAACTTAGCAAGCATGCACACACTTCATAACCCAACATGCATGATACTCACGGTTTTGCCGGAATACACCAAGGGGGAGGCGCTGCCACAGCAGAAATAGAATTTGGCAGCAAAAGTGGGACCAGGCATTGGTGCAGCAGTAGCTGCTAGCTGCAGGCAGCAATGATGAAACAGGAAATGGAGCAGGAGTATTAGCTGCAGCTGCCAATGTTGTTACAGATGTGGTTGGAGGAGAGGAAGCCTGTGGTTAAAAGTTGCTGCTGCATGGCCATCTGTGCTTGTACAGGTGCTGAAGAGGACATAGAAGGAAACACCACATTCAAGTGGTAGTGGAGCTACTCTACTATTATCGACATTGGACTATGAAGCTTCTGAGGCAGGACTAGAGGATCAGGAACGACAGGACTGCTAGATCCAGGCCACGGGACTCCATCATAATGATTCCATCACTATTGACCAACGCAGCAGTGGCTGCCCTTCTTGATGCACGAGCTGAACGGCAGTATGGGGTAGATCTAGGTCCACCACGCTTTCCGGGCGTCAAAAAAGAGTTTAGGAGAATAGGAAAAAGAATAGGAAATATTAGTAAGAACAGCAGCCAGCAATTAGCACTCGTGTTTTGCGATTAGCTGATAATAACTAAGCCCCACCTATTAACCAACCCTCCCAGCTCAAGGATATTAACAGCATTTAACCGTATCACTTAAACTTCAAAATATACTTTTATGTTGTTCTAACAACTCTAGTGTTTATTATATTATTTGAACAGTTACCTTTCATTTATTGTGCTGTCATAAAATTAGAAGCACAATTGTACACAAAGAGACTGTTAAGTTCAACAATAGAATTGTCACATAAAGCTAGTGTACAATAAATAATCGATTAATTAAAGTCTGTTTGGCTAATTGATTAATTTTTTGGACATATTAATTGCCATATTGTTTTAAAACTGTACCCCTTTCAAAAGTTTTGCTAGTTTCTCAATCTTGGACCACACAATACGATTTTTTCATGCTGCACGCTATATAATTTTTCTCTTAAGTACTTATGATTGCATTGAGGCAATGCAGTAAAAGGTCCTAAATCATAGACATGTTTTTGTTGAATGCATAAGTTGTCTTACTATCATCTTGAGGGTCCTGTTCAACTCCTGATGATGGATTTCTTTCAGCCATGTTGTGCAGTTTTAATAAAATTGCTTCTAAGGTTACACACTGGTTACTGCCACTTCTGCTGTTCTCCTAAATATTTTTACTGAACATTCCTTAAATGGCTATTGCACTTGATTTTATAGTATGGTGGGTGTGTCATTCAGTCATAGATATTTTTACTCTAATATCTATGACACAGCCAGTGCAGTACAGTATGGTACAGTGCATGCATAGTTTACTTTTAATTATCTATGGTGCATGTACAGTTATGTCATTATAAAATTGAAACTGACCAATCAAATGCCATGCCCATATAAACACTGACATTTTTGCATTAATTTTGATTGATCAGCTAAAAGGATAGTGACTACTTGTAATTTCAAATTATTTTTTATTATAGTTGGACAAAACCCTTAGTGATGAAGTGAGTTTGTTGGTATGGGCAGGTCGTCTAACTATTTTTAAGTTAAATAATTTTTATGGCTAGGAAGTGGAGCCCCTATAAGCCTGTCTGTCCTAGATGTTCCTTTTTCTAGTCTCATTATTCTCTTTCTCTCTTTTCTCATTTTAATGAAGGTGAATCAGGACTTGATGATGAATCACAAGATATCACTGGAGGTATGTACACACATACACACACTGAATAGCCTTACATACCCAGACTATTCCTTTTTGACTTTTGGAAAGATGTGAAGAGCCTGGCTACACGAGACTACACACTGAAGTAGTGGAGTATAAATGAAATTTACAGAGAACAGAATTTTATATTAATGCCTGCTATATAGTTGCTAATATGGTATTAATAAAAAGTTCCGGCTTAGGAATGCAGATTGACACTGATTTTATCTCTTTAAATTTATGATTTGTGATAAATTTTGTGATGTTTTTGTCAGCTTGCATTCTGAACTACATGTAGCAATTGTTGTAGCACAATGTGGATCTAATAATGTGGAGTGGAAGAAGAGGGAAGGAAGCGATTGAGTTCATTTTATACATTATTCAGTTATTCTTTTCTTCCTCTCAATTTAGTTTTAGAATTTTTTGAATATAATGAGAATGATTCAGACAGTAGTACCAGTGAAAGTGCTAGTCACACTCACCAGGAGCTTGAGGAGTATACTTATACTCATGTATTACTTATGTATTGAGTAGTTACCTAAAGAACCTTTTCAATTGAGACAAGAGATTGCTAGTCATTCACTTGAAGTACCTGAATTTGATATTGGGAGCAGTCACAGGTACACACAACATGTCACAGTGACACACACGCATAATTACTAGTACATGCGCATGTATAATCATAGTCTACATACACAAGAATACTGGGCATTGAGCCATTTTACTAAAATTTTTATAAATCATTAGTCATGATTGTTTTAACAGAGAGAGATTGTATTTTAAGTCAATACTGTTATCTTCTGTTTTTCATTCCTTCCTCTCTCCCTCTTCTAGTGGTGGTATATCTCATGCCTCCAGTGGTCGCCGTTCCTCACAACACACTCTCAGCTTCCCCAAACAACTCATTCCAGTACCACATCATTATGACATCACTGTTCATTTATATTAACCTTAGGGCTGGACTCCACCTACCTGGGACTTCTCCCCTCAAGTAGCTGAAGTATTGAAGCATTATGCTGGGAAAGTGTGATAAATTATAATAGGCAAAATATTGATTAGAATGAAGATAATAATTAATTATTATTAATCATTGTTGTTACAGGGTGATGTTCAGATGAGTGTTACTATTATTCTTGTGTTTGGTGAGAGGGTCAGTAAACTGATACCTGAAGTAACATTACTCCAATGGTTTCATTCTTACATTGGTCAGTGAGACTATTTGTATTTTAAGTCAGTGTATGATTTTAAACTGTTGAGCTTTATATCTAAGTGCACGAAGTTTATTATTTTTACTTTATTTGAGCTATTTACTATGCTACCAATTGTGTTGTGCATATAAATAATGTTGTGCTATTTACTATTGTGTAATTTTACTACCAATTGTGCAAATAACATTAATTATACTTATTCTAGAGTGTTGATCACAAATTTTTCAGTTACAGTCTATGAGTGCCTA